GATAGTTTGTGGTTGTGTCTAGGTGTACATATTATGTTGTCGACAGAAACATCTAAAATTCTTTAGTCATTGAAACAAACTTTGGAAAGGTCAATAGACCGTACAGAACTCTCGTGTTTACCATCTACTTTACAAGCATAATGTGATACTTGACACAAGATTAACTACCTCTTGATGGTATGGAGCTCATGCAATTCTTGGAATCTATGCCTTCCACTTCCAACTAGAGATAAAGCATGATGTCCTCTCATCGCTTGAAAACTCTCTTTTCATTACTTCAAGACACAAAAGCTTTGTCATTCATCGTTCAACAACTTATAGTGTCTTTTTTCTCTTGGTCAATTTCAAGCGAATCATGCTGGAGCACAGGCATAAAGCAACCGAGTCCCACTTGAATGAATCCAACAACACAATCTACCCATTGGATATTCGCATGACTAGAGGATCACAACCTCGAAAGTTGTCGGTCAGCGGGAACAAAACACCACAACCTCCATGGCATTGGCCCCACCGGCAATGAAAACCAGCTTGATGCAATTTGTCGGTGATAATCACAGCCTCGATGGGACAGTGACATCCCGTGGTGTATTGTCTGAGGTTTACAACTGACAAACACTGGCGAAGAAACCGTGGGATTGCCGGATTATCTCCAAGGTGGGATTTCGGCTCTGTGACTGGCTATATTGCTTGGTATGCGTATGGTTTCTAGCTCTCGGGGATATCACACCTGGACCATATACGCTTTCATAATTTTTTGGTGGCTACAACAGCTCGACGAAATTCAACGTTGCTCTTTTTTTTCATCTGCCTATGCATAGCATAAGTCTTCTATTACTTTGCTATTTACCTACGCGATCCACTCTGTGTGCATTGGTGTTGGTTGTGTGCATCCTAACTATGCAGAGGTCAAGTGTATGCCAATTATGTTTTGTATCCCTTTGATGCTTCATTATGAGTTAATAAAAAATGCCTTTTTCAAATAAAAAACTTGTATTGTTAGATATTGGGAACACGGAACATGCTTTGGTCCTACGAGTCGACCGAATATGCTCCCTCATTTGTCAGCAATATGTGAGTAGCCGACGGTGATGTTGCCACACAGTCGAGAATGTCGAGACGACATGCAAGCAAGTGTTGCACCATCGACTACCAAAGGTGATGTGATGGGTGACCACCAAATGTAGTGACGATGACGACAACTTGTGTGGCCGGCATTGCTACTAGTCGAAGGGCTACACCGATACTACGAGCGGGGTGACGATTGGATGGGGGGTGGGGAGGCTATGTCAATGCAGTAAAATGAGATATGTTAGGCCCCTTGTTTCACTGTTCACGCACATGAGGTGGCAATAAGGGCGAAGATTTGAGCGACCACATGGCAAGGCGATACCTATTTCGCACATAGGTCACTGAATAGCAACCTACCACACACTTGTCCTTTAGTATCGGTTGGCCCAATGCAGCTTTTACGTTTAAATTCATGGACTTTTCCTCAAATACATGATTTTTTGGAATACAGGAACCGCTTTTAAATTCATGAAAAAATCCATAAGATTTTCTATAATTTATGAACATTTTTTTATTTCGAAAACACAATTGTTTTAGAACTTATTAACATTTATTTATGAATTTATGAACATGTTTTTAGTTCACGAAAAAATTGGATGCCGAATTTTAATTTAATCACGAACATTTTATGGTTTCAGCAACATTTCTTGAAATCATGAACACTTTTTGAATTCGTGAAATGTTTTTGCGTGTATGAACAATTTTTGTATTGGCGAAATTCATTTATACTTGGCAAAAAAAATGACAAACATTTATTGTATTTGGATTTTTTTAGTTTTGAACATTTTATTTGTTCCGAGCATTCTTTTGAAATTTTGAAAAAAAAATGATCCATGACAAGTTGTTGAAATCCTGAACATTTTATCAAATAAGAAATTTGTGAAAAAAATCTCAAAGTAAGTAAAAATTGAAACAAAAAACCAAGTACAAAGAAAAAAAATAAAAAAGAAAAAGAAAAGTGCCGGAAAGCCCGCACATGGGCTGGCCCAAAATGCACAATTGGTGTCTATTTGCCGACCTACGCGGAAAATAGGTGCTCCCGTGATCATACAGCTCGCAAGGCTGCCGACCAGGGCGGGACGTTATATGCCGCGCGATTGCGTCAGTTTGGCAAGAAGCAAAATCGGGAATGTAGCGACTCGTGTCTAGAAGGCAACTGTAGCCTCAAGCGCCTTGGTTCACTGTAGTGAACCTGGCACTATAGATGCCCTTTTTTACTGATGTATTTGAATGTTACTGATGTGTACGAATATCAAACCTGTACAAACAAATGTTCCTTATGGATACGAAAAATGTACAACATATATAAATTAAATTAGACAAAAGATATATTTAAAAAGTAACTCTGTATTATAAATGTTAAACATGTACAAAAAATATTACTGATGTTTTAAAAAATGCATATTGGGTGGGAAAAATGTTTATTCTTATTAAAAAATCACCATGTATTTGTAAAATCTTAGCCACTTATTCCTAAAAGTGTTCAAAACTTGTATTTATAAGAAGAAATAAAATGACATCATGTATTTGAAAAACTTGAAAACCGAGAAAGAAAAAATAAAAACAAAGAAAGCCGATGAGAAACAAGAAAAACATAAGAAAATTGAAGAAAAAAATCAGTCAGAACTTACCAAGAAACAGAAAGAAAGGTGAAGAAACAAAGAAACTGAGAAAAAAACAAAGAAAGCCAACATATAAAGAAGAAGAAAAAAGAAAAACCAAACAAAACTTGTGGAAAATATATAACGAAGAAGACAAAATAAAAAAATAAAAACCATATCTATACCTACTATTAAAGGGAATAAGTATTCTTGATTTGGTTTAGTCCTTTTTGTTTGGTTTACACACGCTAAGCAATCTGGCCCAGGTAATTGTATGTTGATGGGCCTTTTATGGGCTTTCGTAAAAAATAATTGAGTCAAAATAAATCAACATTGTGGGAATTAAACACGTGACCTCATGTCTAGCTCTTCGATGTAACAACCAACAACCTATGTGCCTTTCACATTTACTAATCCCAACTCGCTCTAAATATACGAGTGACGGTCATCATATTTAGGCGAGCTAATTGAGCGAATGAGCTTCATAGGCCTGATAAAACGAGTGTTGATTATGTATGATAATTAAAAGGAAGGATTTGCAGGCTTCAATGTGTTGGTGCTACTAAATTAGAAAAGGAAGGATTTGATTCACGAGTGAGGACGTCATGATAATTAATGAAAGGATTATACTTAAGTGCCATTAAGAAGTGATTATAGTTAAATACCATTAAAAGGGATTATACTTAAATGGAATCAGTGGGAGATTATGTCCGGCAAAGAAAATATGGACACGGCTATATTGCAACATATTTTTCTATGTTCATTTTGTAGAAGGATGCGGATGCTTTGTTGCAGCATGTTCTTCATAGTGAATCCGGTGCTGTGAGACATTATGCTTGCACATCAATTTTTTCCGTTGCAACGCACAGGCATATGTGCTAGTAAGAAATAAAAGAGAAGAAACCAAGAAGAAGACCCAGAAAGCCGACCCTAAACAGCCGAATGCGAGCCCATCCCATGACAAACGGGCCGCGACAAAGGCACTTTAACCAGCACTAAAATAAATACCAACGAAATAACAGCCATCGGCCCACACTACAAAAGATCGATCTAAGCCGGTGCGCGGCCAGCTCGGTCGCCCATCGCCCTTCGCGATGGCGATCGCGATGCCGCCGCTGGCGAGGGCATCACAACGTATCCGATATTCCAAGAAAAGAAAGGCACCGCCGCCGCCGCCGCCGGAAAGGGACTGGGCGGAGCTGCACCCGGACCTCATCTCCTGCATACTCCACCGGCTAGACCAAGCCGAGCTCCTGGTCGGCGGCGTGGCGGGCGTGTGCCGCTCCTGGCGCCACGCCGCCCGGGATGAGCCGGAGCTGTGGCGCCGGATCGACCTGCGCGGCGGCCTCTGGTACGTCCCGCCGTTCCGCCCCAAGTTCAGCATGGAGACCATGGTGCGCAAGGCCCTGCGTCTCGGCGCGGGGCAGACAGAGGCCTTCCTGAGCGAGGGCGTCAGCAACCGCACGCTCCTCCTTCTTGCCGAGAGGTATGAGATTTAATTATTTCTTTCCTGATCCCCAAACGGCGCTTATCTTATGGGGTTGCCCTTGTTCCATTTCTTATTGTGCTCCGAGCGTGCTCGTTGTTTATTTGAAGGTTTTAAATTTTGGACCTCACCAAAAATATTTTTCTTTGAATGAGATGCTACGCTCATTCATCGCTCATAACTTCATAAGTCATACTCTATCTAATGCTACCTTGCAGCGCACCCTCGCTGAAGAGCCTTCATCTCATCACATGCTCGGTCTCTAAACAAGCATTTGCAAAGGCGATCAAGATGTTACCTCTGCTTGAGGAGCTTGAGATTTCACTACCGTCATATTTTGATACACAAGAGATGGTTGAACTAGTCGCCGGAGCATGCCTACAGCTGAAGCACTTCAGACTTGTCATGCATGACTATGAAGACAGGCGTACTAGTGCCGGGGTAGCATCTATGGTTGCAAGGATGCACAAGCTACGCTCCTTGCATCTTGTCCGCCTTAAGCTCGACAATGAAGAGCTAGCAACCATCCTTGATAAGTGCCACGACCTAGAGTACCTTCACATGCGAGAGTGCAGCCTTATTGACATGGATGCCATGGACGACAACCTACAAGTGAAGCTTGCCCAGATCAATATGGATAACCATGAGTACTCCAGTGACCGAATCGTTGACTATGAGTACATGATTCGTTGTATTTATTATGACCTCGATGGCGGAGGTGATTGGCTTTCCTACGATTACAACGACGATTCCTATGTTGAATATTGCTACTACATTGGTAGTGGTGATGGTATTGACGATGCCGATCTTGAAGAGTATGAGAAGATCCTCGACATCAAGAGCATGCGTAGGCACCTACGCTAATGAAATAACGTATGTGTTTCTTGAAAGCATCCACACTTGCACAACAATGGCCAACGTTTTGTTGCTTCAGTTTCGCCCTAGATTCCTGCATTACTAATTGTACAATGGTTGATTTCAAATTATTTAATCATTCACATGAAGGTGAGAGATATCAACAATTTTAGCAATATGCTACATCAAAGTTTTTCTTTTTCCTACTTGTTTACCTTAATATTGCCTGAAACATCACATCCTATATATTGTTCCTAGCACAAGCAGATCGTGAACTCATGTTTACTTTAAGACTATAAAAGCTGGGAGCTCGCCAGCTCGTAGAGGACCTGCAGGACCGGGCACAAGATGTTGAATCGTACTCTCCCGATGCCCTATGAATATGATGTTGGCTGGAGCATGGCGGAGGAAACTTGCAGGTTAACTAGCTAGTGGACGAGGAATTTGTGTCTCGATCGAGCGACGACTTACAAAATTGCTAGTCTCATTATTTGTCAAACAAACTGTTGCAGTTCTGGTTACTATTGTTAGTAGGGTGAGGCACCTTGTTCTGTAGCGACGATAGCAAGCTCCTGACCTCTGACGGTACCGTCACCGTGTGTTTGCGGTTCACGTGCACGCTTGCGGCGGCAACCGAGCTGGCCAGCGCGAGGAGCACGTGTTGTTCGCCATTGATAATAACATAGTTAAATGAGAGGAAAGATGGGCTTTGGATGGATTTTGAAATCAACAACATCTATACAGTAACATCACAATTGTAGAGGAACCCAAACCACAATCTTGGCATGGTTCAATCCCATAAGAGATAAATACACTGAGGGTCACTGAAGTTGAGTCAAAAGCACAATACGGTCACTGGACTTAAGAATACGCTCGTTACGGTCACTATATACGCAAAGTGATGATTATACGGTCACTGCTTCAGTGTAGAGCAGTGTATAGCAATCTGTTGACCGGTCAAATGATCTACATGACATTCAATTGACTTAGGCCCATCAGTCAGTAGGGGAGAAGGAATAAAGGCCCATCTGTCAGCAGTGGGGAGAAATAAAAAACAAAAGCGTACACGCTGCAGTGAGGGGAGTCGGACACACGCCTCGCGCTTGAGGCTTGCGCGCTATAGCCAGTAGAGCCAACGAAGCACATATGCAGCAGCTAAGCGCTACGCATTTTATATTCAGACCTCCACGCATATGCACACCCTGTTCATTGAAAATGAAGCGCGCGCGCACACACACTGTGCGCACATATATATTTTGAAAATTACTTCCACTGTATCAAATTTATGTAACTGTTTCCAAAAAGGTGATACATTTTTTCATGCAACTTTTAACAAGTTTTGCATCGTTTACTAGAAAAATTCATGCATTTTTAAAAAGTGATTGCATATATTCTTATAAAACTTAGTGTAACTTTATATTAAAAATGCATCAAATATTTATTCAAAAACACTACCTTACACGGAAAATCATATAAAAGCAACACTACTTTACATCACGTGCATATTTCTAAAAATTGCATGCATAATTTTTAAAACTGTACGTACTTTTTTCAATTAAAGAAACACTTTTATACTACATAAATATTTTAAAAATATATGAACATAAAAACCGAATATTTTTAGTTAATTTTTGCGTTTGCATGATATTTTTTTGTCTGTGGATTCATTTATATCGCAGATGCGATTGCTCAAAAAAAATTGCACATGTGTGTGTACGTGGGTGCATGTGTGCCGTTGGAAAAAAAAACCTAAGCTCCTACGGGCTCGATTTGCTAGCGTACCTTTAGATTCGTGCGCGAGGTCCTGGTTTCGAACCACCAACCCGCGCATAATTATTTTATTAGCTTTTCTTTATTTCTTCGGCTGATTGACAGGTGGGATAGAAGGCACAGACTGCTTATTGGATTCGTATCTCATATATAGGTGAGCGCCTCCATTCTAGCACAATGTAGCATAGTGCTCAACTGGCTAGCACGCGGGCCTTGTTTGCGCTAGCTCGCCGGTTCGAATCCCCAACATTGCAGTTTACGTTTCGTTTCTTTTATTTATTTATTTCACCTACGTTTAATACGGCAGCTATACGGAGAGTCACTGACCGTATAGTCACCGTTTTACGTATATAAGGACCATAACGAGCGTAGACCGTATCGTGCTTCGGACTCAAGTTCGGTGACCGCTAGTGTATTTATCTCATCCCATAGTATTCAAGGATGGTGTCGCATGTGAGTCTGCCCGTGTGGCCGCCAACCCACATCGCTCTCGCATGGAAAGAATGGCATCAGCGATATTTTGTCAAAAATCTCAAAACTAAAATTTTATCTTTCAAACAGTTATTCCAATTGATGGTTCATTTTTTTCATTGGCTTCCTCAGGACGTTATCTGCAAAAAACTAGATCTCATGTTGGTAAGTTCGCAGATTACTATCACTTACTGGCAATTTATTACCAGCCACTCAGTTTGCCAGATAAAGTTAGCTTGATTATCGGGGTACTGAACATCAATAGATACCAATATAAAACTTGCTTCACTGTATTTGCATGAGTTGATGACATTTTTTTAATACTTAAATATCTAGCTCGACATAATACCGCAATGCATAAAAATATATAAATCATTTCCTTGTAAAAAACACAGTAACCATCCACCGACGGCTCCCCTCCGTAGACGACCTCAGTCGTCATTGGTTGGGGGGGGGTCACTGGATCCATGTGTGTGGATAGTGTAGCGTTAGTTTTAGGCCCTGGTACATTAGGGTTTTTGGTCGTTCATCATCTTGACTTCGGCGGCGGCGTTGGCGACACTTAATAAATATTTCCCCAACGAGGCGATTGGTCCTATGGTTGGTGATGGATTTGGAACCAGTCTGTTCAACCAAGGATGGTGTGGCGGCGGCACTTGTGGTGGACTTGTGACATCGGGCTCCGTCGTTGCGAGGACGTTTGCTCAAGCTTGGGAGGTAGTCTAGGAGTAGATGCAGATTATGGTTTGCATCAGTGGCATACGAAAGATAGTGGATTGTGTGTTGGATTTGTGGTTCATGACTGACACGTATGGTTTCCTCCTCTAATGTCTTTGTCGTGCGGCGGTGTCAGATCTGGAATTCGATGGTGTGTCTGAGGTTTTACCCCCGTTTGATTTGTGTAACGACAATGGTTGTGCCTTTTGTGAGCTACCTTGGAGGCCTGCAAAACTGCATATTAACAATGGAGCTGTGTCGAACTCCTGTTAGGAGGTGATCCGCCATTGTTTCCTTTGGTGGTTATTGTGGTGGTGCCGGAGGTAGGTGATAGGTTTTGGTATCAAGATCAAGGGATTCTTTTGTCTTCATTGTAATTTTGCTTCTTGGCTGGTGTTTCTTTGTGCAAAGGCTAGCATTCTGAGGTCTTTTAGTATCGTTAGTTTAGTGTCTACGTGGCTTCTAATGTGATATTTATGATATAAATGAGTTATGATGCAAAAAACAATGAAAAGCACAGTAACATAATCTGGCAAGTAGCATGGAATCTTATCCAAAGCCCTCGCAAGGACAAACCCACCAATGAAAACAGGTCATGAATCGGATTAACGGTTCAATTGATAAATCATTTTAAAATTTTGAATTTGACAATTAACATCGGGATGTGAAAATGATGCGGGAGATTCTTTAAAACATGCATGTGCTCACTCTATTAGCAGGAAATCCATTGAAGATCACCTACATGGGAGAGCATGATTGTTTATGTGTGTGACATCGCCATGGTGGACTCGAATA